ATATATATATATATATATATATATATATATACTTTTTTTTCAGACAGCATATACAGTAAATACAGTAAATTCTGATTTCTTTTTAAAATACACACTAAGATTATTATGTTTTTTTTTTTAAAGCTACAGTGGAGGAGTTTTGCTACTTTTTGAATGCATGCTCTGTTTAAATGTTCCTGTTTGCATCACTCATACATGCTTACTTTTTAAAAGAAGATTAGCTATTTCTCTACTACTTTAGACTCACAACCAGTAAGGGAAAATGGGGACGAGCATGGGGGATGGCCTTAAGTAAACATATCACCAGAATGATTGACAATTAGGAGGACCACTTATTTTGATGATCCACCTGGAAAAAGAACATCCTCCACTATACCTATAATAGTCTGAAGTAAATAACTTCTGGGCCTATCCTTTTGCATGTAATTAATCCCAAATATTATATCTATTTGACAAATAATGTTAAATACAATTAAATATTTATTAACATAATTCATTTATGTTTATATTAGTTATTATTTTACATTTTATAGCATAAAAAATGTAAAAGAAATATAATATTTTGAAGATTTTGCATTATGATGATGTTGTGAGGAGAATATGTGCATTTATATTTAAGTAATTAAAATTTTCAGAACAAATGCTGAGTTTTGATCCACATTTGGAGAAAAAAAAGCACACATCTCTTATCGATGTCAAGTCTTCATGGATGTTACTGCCATGAATAATGAGTGTGGGGCTGAAGGGAAGCTAAAAATACACATACATTATTACATGTGATGCAACTAGCACCTTGGATACTGCACATGCAAGCCAGGCGTAGTCACTTAGAGCTGTTGCAGTGGTTACCATTCTCTTGGGTATGCTGTTGTGTTCTTACATTCAAATACAAATATATTTCTTTAGAATATGTTGTTTCCTATTTTTGTAAAAAAAAAAAATCCTGTCAATTGTTGTTTCCATCTTTATAATCTGTAATGAAAAAGGAGAAATTAATGTGTATGCATTAGTCTGTTGCAAACTAAGTAGGATAGAAAATTTAGGTAAGATATTAAGTAGTACGATTTTATTATGTTAGGAATGTCAAATAGTCAATTTTTTTGGCTGCCTTGCTCCTTTTCAGCCTTCATCAGTATCAACATGTCTGAAAGAAACTGCGTTCCATTTTTCTGAAGGTCATTTGGTGTTGTGCTGTGGGAGATGCTGACGGGGGAGGTGCCCTACAAGGACGTGGACTCCTCCGCTATCATCTGGGGAGTGGGAAACAACAGCCTGCAGCTGCCGGTGCCTGATAGCTGTCCGGACAGCTTCAAGCTGCTCCTGAGGCAATGCTGGTGAGGAAGATGGAGTGATAAAAAACATGAAAGAAGTTATTTAAGCTGGCAGCTAGTAGAATATTAATTTACCTGTTTTACAGGAACTGCAAGCCAAGAAACAGGCCATCATTTCGACAGATCCTCCTACATCTTGATATTGCCTCTGCAGATATACTGTCTACTCCACAAGAAACTTACTTTCAATCTCAGGTGAGATCATTTTTTGGTGGAAAAAATGATGCAGGGACCAAACATTTTCTTTATTACCCATTTTGACTAAAAAAACAGGGAGCTCCTTAGTCTAATTATATAATATTTATCACATACTGTGCAGTGAAGGAGTTTGGTGTTTTCTGGGAGGATTTTGATCTATTTGATTTTTTGTCATAGACAGTTTAAAATTATTCAAAGTTCCCCCCAAAAATTAAAAGCCAGGCAAAGGCAATTCAAGTTAATACAATAAGCAGTTTTCAAATGATGATTTCATTCATTGAGGGAAAGAGTCATCCAAACCCACCTTGTGTCCTGATGAAAGGTAAGAGTTCCATTAACATATTAATCATTTGTATTATTTGTAGCAATGGGTCTATTAAGAGGTGGAGGAATTTTTGAGTCCATTCTTTGTATTATTGTTTTTTTTCTGTCACAGAAAGGTTTTTAAACATGATCCAACTTTTTAGGTTGATGTCAATGAATCCAATTGGATTCAAGTTTTTTTGTTTGTTTGTTTCTTGTTGAGCTGTTCAGAGGTTCTCTTGCTGGTGTAGCCAGCAGCCCTTATCATTGCCTTGAGACTGGAATATTTAACTGTCTTCATGATTATTTAGTTTTTTCCAAAATGCTTTATTAGTTTTATTTTGTATATAGTAAGATGGCTATTTCCTTCTTCCAAAAAAAAAAATCCAAAACATATTTTTTGTTTTTTAGGGGATGTTTGTCTGTTTTTTTGGTCAGCAGTGGTTAAATGCAGTTTTTGCCCATTAACTATGATATATTTACTTCCCTCCAGCTTGAGAGATGACAACGATTTTGACTTAAATTGCATAAGATGCCTTTTTATATCTTTAAGCCTACTTCATGTTGGCAGGTAGGTTTAGTTTATGTGGTTTCTGGAGGAAATGAGGAAATGTAGCAGTCAAAAGTGTTATATTTTCATTTATGTCCCAGTTGTTTGGATCACTTTTTTCATTTGATCAATAAAAAAATTGTTGAACGTAATAATTTTTTTTTCCATGCCAACTATGTTTGTTTATTATTAAAAAATAGTTAGATAATGTAAAACATGTCAGTGTTATAAGCAAGCAAAAACTTGCTTTTCTGCAGCACTGCAATTTTCATAGCTGGTGTTAAAAATGAGACAGAATCCGAGGATTGAGTCAGCTGTAATAAAATCCGTTATGTATTTATTTACAGGAAATCTATTCATTAAGTCCAATAAAGAAATAAATGAACATTTAGTGAAGTCTATATGGGTTTTGTATGTCTCCCCTGCCAACATCACTCATTCTCATTTTGCTGACAAGCTGCCACCATTTTCTCTCAGCCTACTGCAGTAACTAAATGCATAGGCAAGTGCACAGCTGCAACCGGGCCCCCCAGTCTCCAGGGAGCCAACTAATAATACCTGTCCTTTCAATCACACTGCATCATTGTTGGTTGCTTTTTTTCCCCCCTTTTCTTTCCGTGTCAAATGTTTTTGCTGATTTGTGGCGTTTTATTTAAGCTTCAGTTCACAGGTCAAGGAAAGAACCTTTATTTCATATCATGTGTGATGGGGAAGGACAGTGTGTCTACCTGTGTGTGGTTGGGGGTTGGAAGCTTACTACCAGTGTGTCTGACCAAAGAAAATGAACAGAGGGGGGTACTGTTGGAAAACATGCCTTTGTGGGTATTAATTTACAATGAATCTGATTCTGTTCAATCTTAATATGGAAAATATAAACCTCCATCACTCCTATCCTTGGTGCTTTATTTTTCCCTGCCCCCTTTCTTGTGGTTGAATCCCTGCCCAGTTTTTTGTTCTCCTCTCTGGCCCATAATGGATTTTTCTTGTGACATTAGAAAGAAGTATTTGCTGCCAGAGTGTATTGATTACTTTAATGGTAGAGAGCAGAGCAGAGAGTGGAAAAAAGAGGGGACTGGAGATGTAAAGAGAGTGCATTAGGTTAATAAGAAGAGCTTCTTACACAAGCAACTCCAATACACATGTATGTGTCTGCACACACTCATAAATCTGACTTACTTAGTCCTTTGATATGACAAGTATCAGATAACAGCTGGCATGCTCTGCTGCACAAAGGAAAATGCCCATGCCGTATTTTTGTGTCTTTGTCTTTTAGGATCCACTGCAATGCACTGTAAGTTTGTTTTTGCTTCCTGGGCATTGATTGATATCTGACAGTTTAATAGGTTTCATTTCAGTGAAAAGAAAAAGCTAACTGCCCTGCAAATTGAAAGTGTTTCTCCCTCTAAATCAAGTTGCAAATAAAATTGTCTTATGGTAGCTTCACATATTAATATTAAATAAAGAATGTGGACTTAAGTCACGGTTCATTTTCTCAGTGCAAATGAAAGAACTGATAAAATACTCCATGTTTGAAGCGGTAAAAGCTTTTGATAATGTGTATCAGTCACCGTTAGGCAGAGATTTAATTATCAATACTGTATGATTTTACAGTATATACCACAAACTTTAATGTAATTTTAAAACATCTTCATATTGGAACAATCTTTCGCCCTCTCTCAGCTCTAAGATCTCAGTTTTTGTATTTAAGAAGGATCTTGTTCCACATCTTTAAAGCACTGATAATTGTAACTTGTTTGTGTTTATAACTGTTATAATATGATGTAAATGTCTAACAGAATCTTTATTAGAAAGCTTTGTGTGTGTGAATGAATGCATGATGTGTTTGGTTGTGTTTGTGGCCATTTGTATGTCTTCTCCTATTATTGTATATATTTTCGTATATGTCTTGTTCTATTTTGGGGGTTGTGTGGTTTTGGTTTCTTTTTAAGGATCCCCTTGAAAATGAGATGGTACATCTCAAGAGCCTTATCCTTTTAATTTCAATTAATATAATAAAATGTATATACTTCATGCCTGTATTCAAAGCTCTAAAGATGTTTCTGAAACAATTTTCCATAACTGCAAATATGATTGACTACATCGTTAGGTTTAATGATTGAAATTTTTTTTGTGATTGGTTATTCTTAATAAATCTTTGTTCCTGTTTGTTGTGAAGACCTGCTAATAAAGCTCATTACTATTTCGATTTTGTAGTTTATACGTGCAGTAAATCTGGGTAATTAACAGTCAGTCTTTTTTGTTCTGTTCCTTCAGGCGGAATGGAGGGACGAGGTGCGACATAACTTTGAGAAGATAAAGTCTGAGGGGACATGTCTTCACAGGCTAGACGAGGAGCTCATCAAACGTCGAAGAGAAGAACTCAGGTTAGATTTGCAACGAGACAGAAAAGCCACCTTAACAAGTTTGCAAGCTGCAGGTTTCTACTACATTTCTATTCTCCAGAAATGATCGACTTTGTGTAAACATTACTTTTTTGAGTCCTGGGGTTCGTTTCATTATGGTTTTAAAAAGTTATTTTGCGACAAGCTTTGGATTATCACCTAAACACAGACACATCATAACATGACAAGATCTTCAAGTGAAGTGAATTCTTTTGCAAGGCACTGTAAGAGGGGCATCATAGAAAGGCTATTGTCAGTAAGCATCTTGACCTGCAGAAGAGAATCGTCTGAGGGCTTGTAAGATAAGATGTTGTTCTCAAAAGAGAGCATCTCGCATTGTTATGCTCCTGGCAAAAGTTAAATTTTATCATACAAAGATATAGTGGTTTATTCTGACGGCTGAATTGCTCCACAAACATCCCTTTTAAGTTAAATATGCTGCCCAATAATTAAAATGATTTGAAAGGACTTAGAGACAGGAGTAGTTCTAAAGTAATCAAAAGTGATTTGGATCAATTTAGTATTTTAACAATATCTGATCTCTAATGAGTATGAAACCTGGCTAAACACTGTTTAACAGCAGAATAGGTTTATATTAAAGCTGTGCTGTATGTGTTTTAACAGATCGCTTTGACCAGAATACTTCTGTTTTCATAGTTTTTAAAAGAAATCAAATTCAACAAAGTCACTCCTTATCTAAACTGTAAACATGTACAACGTTTTTGTACCTGTATGCTCCCTGTGCTTAATTTTAATATTTATTGTTTAAAAAAAATGCATTTAAAATCTACGAGAAAGCATCTATGTGTTTCTTATATTCATGAGAGGGTTTGTTTTTTTTCTCAAAAAATTACTAATGGTAAGCAAAAACACCAGTTCAATGTAATCTCTTGATCTATAACCACCATCATCACAGTAAAGATTGGAGATAAGGCTTGAGTCGTGACATTATTGAGCTTTTTCTCTACATACAGACATGCTCTGGACATTCGGGAGCACTATGAGAGGAAACTGGAGCGAGCCAATAATCTCTACATGGAGCTCAATGCTATCATGCTGCAGCTGGAGATCAAAGAAAAGGAGCTGCTCAAGTACGAAAATTTCCCTGTTCGTTTGTTCCATTTAACATGATTAGGACCCTTCTATTTTGGGAAAGCTAAAATTAAACATGCTATAAAATGAAAAAAAAAAAATTACTAGCTATGCTTTTTACTGCACAGTTTGGATGTCTTTGCCTTTGCTCTCATGTTTCTCGCTGTATCCATTTTAACCAGTGATGTCCTTTATGTCTGAATCCCAGGAGGGAGCAGTCTCTGGACAAGAAGTATCCCAGCTGCTTTAAGCACCACAGCTCCAGACAGTCAGCCTCCTCCAACTCCATGGAGAAGCTCATGAAGAAACGCAATGTACCGCAGAAACTGAATTCACACAGCAAGAGGTAAAACAGAAAAAAGAATAGTTTATCCACAGCTTCACACATTACTACTTGATTAAGTTCATTAAGTTAACCTGGTACCAAATCAAACAATAGGCTTTTCTATGTTTTGCAGATTTTAAGGGGAGGTGGTTCTTTTTTATACAGTTAATCAAAGTTTTTGATTTAATTTTGTTTAAAAGTCTCTCATATATATTGAATGATTTATAAATAAACATGTTTAAGGTTTATTCGAACTATTTTCTTATACCAAAAGTTAAGTAAATAAAAAATAAGGATGAAAACCTCAGGACAGGTGTCTTCTGTGTCTCAAGAAATTAAAATATCAAAGGTTATTTGATTAGAAATAAACAATGTTTGTTCTGTTTACAGACCAGACTTACTGAAGTCTGAGGTCATCTTACCCAAACTGGACTCATCCATGACCCAGGTCACCATACCCAACAAAGGCTCCACTTCCCCTGGCCGCTCTCGCCGAGGAAAGCCTCGATACAGAAAGGCTGGTAAAGGCAGCAGCAGCGACTTGGCTCAACTGAAGGCCACTCTGTCCTCGTCTTTAGCCATGATTAATGCCACCGCATCTATGCCTAGTAGCAAGCATCGTCTGGACCCCACTGCGGCAATCAGGGGTCTCCAGCATGACCTGCTGCTTAAGAAGATGTCCTCCTCCAGCCCCGATCTCATTTCAACCACCCTGGAGGCAGAGTGCCGGAGAAAGGGGCAGCTGAGGCCTGGCTTAGACAGAGCGGGCAGTCAGAGTGCCTCAGCTGGTTTAGAAGACAGCGGAGAGACAGAGGGGCCAAGGGAAGGGCAGAACACTGGTGTGGGGGGTGATGACCTGGTGGAGACACCCCCACGCAGCAACACCCCCAGCGAAGACGCAGCATCCATTCCGTTCTCCAGCAGCCCCGATTCACCTTGTGGAAGAGGGGCAGCTGCAGGGAGGTCATCTGTACTGGGGAACTCCCGGGTCTCCCATGAAGGAGAGGAAAAGGAGGAAGGGACAGTGATCACACGCTCACCCAGAAGTCAGCGCCGCCTCACGCCAGCAGCGCTACTGTACAGAGCGGCTGTCACACGCAGTCAGGTAAGATTGTTTTAGCTGGGACACTAATCTACAGGGACACAAATACAAATAAATGCAAATAATTACAAACTATAATTACAAAAATACAAACAATTGGTCCAAAGGTGCAAGTTTACAGATTTCCCTTAACAGTGTTGCCAAATTATTCAGATGTTTCTCTATAGTGGCTGTTGTAATTAAAATTCAGAAGCTTCTGGATGCTTCCGCATTCACGACCCAAACATTTCAGCAGCAGGCTTTATAGAAAAAAAAACTGATTTCCTTTATCCCTTAATTATTGCATATGCACATAAGAGAATTATATGTAAAGAAGCTGTTCTTTAACATTTCTATATTACATTTATGTTTTAAATAAACTGTTATGATCCCAAAAATGTATTTTCTCTTCTTAAAACTTGAATGTTCTTAATAGAATAAGTCAGAATAAGGTTAACCTGCGTCTTCTGGTTTATGCTCTTCCCCACAGAGACGTGGACTGTCTTCAGAGGAAGAGGAGGGAGAAGTGGACAGTGAGGTTGAGCTGCCCAGGAGAAGGTGGGAATAATGAGATTATCTAGAAATGTAATTTTCATCAGGTATTTCATAAAAGTTTAGAATTTTCATTTGATAGCCACCACAAAACCATTTTGCTCTAGACCAATAAATAAGCTGGTTGTATGATTGAATTAATACTGAAAATGAAATTAACCAAAATCCTATTTTTACTAATTGGATAAGTGAATTTAAAGTTACAATTGGAATAATATTAAAAACTGCACAAATAAAAAACTTGAATACAGTTGACGGGCTTATATTTTTATAAAGAAAAATTATTATTAGGTATAGTGGAGGATAATCTTTTTCTGAGTGGATCATCACAATAAGTTGTCCTCCTGATTGTCAATCATTCTGGTGATATTTTTATGTAAGGCCGTCCTGCGTGCTCGTCCCCATTTTCACTTACCGGTGGTGATTCTGACATAGAGGAAAAATTGCAAATCTTCTTTTTGAAAGTAAGCTCGTATGAGCGAGTGAAAAGGGAAAAGGACGTGTCTTTTCAAAAATGTGTAGAAATCCTCCACTATATTTTTAATACTTAATGAAGCATGTGTATTTGTGGCTATTTGTTTTTTTTTAAGTGGAGAGGGCAGATTTTTTCAAAAATCCTCCACTATACCTTTAAGGGCAAACCTAATTTAACGTGGCCTTCATGTGGTATGGTAAATATGATCCGTTCTGCCTGTAAAGTGGAAATTACCAGTGCATTGTGTTTAAGTGCTTTTGTCAAGTCAGAGAAGAGGAACATAGCTGATCCACATTATCCTGACTTGGGCAAGACAGTTATAGGATCATCTCCTGGTTCCAGTAAATCATGTGCCCCCTGGGATACACTACAGATCAAATGAGAACATTGTCTACGTCAGAACACAGTTCGCACAGTTCACACCAGCTGCTGTCCTCCACGGACTGCCAGCTAGCATCGGATAGACTCAAACAAAAACAAAAACAAAAAACACATGTTTAAATGGTGATATTGTAAAAAGAAATGTACGTCACAGCATTGTGTAGGGCTACTAGCACAATGAGACGGAAGGTTTCACAATGCAGTATTTATTCATCATAAAGAATTTAATAGGTCGAAGTTTGCCTCATATTGGAAACTTTCAGGAGTATCATCAAAGTTGTTTTTTGGTATTTACAATAATTATGATACCACATGAAGGCAGCTTAAGTATGGCTTGCTATACTACTTGTGTAATCCTTTAATGGATAGGTGCCTCCCTTCCACCTCACCCACATAATCGCATGAGGTTAAAAAAAAAGGCATTTGCTGAAACAATCTCTTGAAACATTTGTAAATATAGTCCTTTCTTGATAACATTTCCAGCTGAGTGCTGCATGTTATAGTGAACAATGCAGGCATGTATGAGGTGGATTGATGACATTGTTCTGGCAGTAACGGTGATGTGTGGGGGATTATTTTGTCTGGTTTCGTTTTACTCATTTATTAGATTCATGTATTTTTTTTTGTACTGAAAATATCATATCATAGACTCTCTTTAATTTATTTGCTTTATTTCAATAATAATTCTAACAACTTGAATTATTTGCTGTTACAAGCCCAATTTGTAGTACATGGTGAACACATTCGTTTCCTTATACGTCTGAAACTCAATAAAAAGATTTTGAATATGAAACCATAATTGAAATAATCTTTTCTTCCTAATACCATGAAGATTTCTTTTTTTGGCAAATAATTCTAATCAGTTTTAAAACAAATTATAAAGTAACTAAACCTTAGATATCTATTGCAATTAAAGGAAGTTGTGTTTAATATGGCATAAACCTAAACATAATCAATTAGAACATCAAGTAGTTACTTAATTTTATTCTTTAAGTTTTGAAAGTGAAACTATATTACTTATTCCACTGTTGAACTGATAAATGTGCAGCAAATAGTTAATGGCATTCTGCACAAGTAGGGAAAAACACTGAAGGGGATAATTTAAGAATATGATCTCTCACAAAGTCCCACATCCAAAGATGTTAACTGAAGGTTTGGTGGAAGGAAAAAAGACTGGTAGAAAATTTTGCAGAACATAGATAAAAAAAAAAAAAAACTCTTGAGAGGATTGTAAAGCAAAGCACATTCTAGAGTTTAGAGGAGATAAGCCATATTTAACAAAACAGATAAAAACATTAAAAAATTCAACTTTACTAAGATGCATCTGTATGGGTTGAATAAGGAATGCATTCGATTAGAAAAAAAAAAGATTTGAACAACAAACTTTGTTCCATTCTTTTCGATACATAAAGTATATCGAATTTAAATAATTCACATCTTTGAGGCATATTCTGTTAAATGCAAAATTCCAAATTATTACAATTATCAAATGAATGGATTTTTTACAACTTCTTCCATGCTGATTTGTACTTTTCTGTGGTGACTTTTCATTTAAAGGTTCAGATTTCTCCTTTCTATTTTCTTGCAGGCGGCCAGTCAGCATCTCCAAATGTCAGTCGCTGTCAAACTTTAGTTTAGAAAACTTATCGGTTTCAGACGGCGAGGAGGGAAACACCACAGACCATTCCCACAGTGGCACGCCTGATGTAGTCAGCACCAACACAGACGAGCGTCTGGATGACAAAAGCGACGATTTGCTCTCTCAGGGCTCAGAAATCCCAGCCGACCCCTGTGATCCGAGCCAGCTGGGCTCTGATGGGCTGTCAGAAAGGGAAGCTGAAGTACGACAAGTGAAGACGCAGCTCGCTTTGAGTGAACATAACTACGAGGTAGGTGGGAAATACATAGACTAAAAGAATGAAATCAGATTGATTTGTAAAAGAAATATGTGGATTTAGGATGAATATGTAGTGAGTGTTTTACCTCTGATAGCAATAAGAGTATCAATAAGAGAATCAGAGATTGGGTTTCTGCAGGGAATTGATTCAGAAGACTAGGGATTGTTTGGGACCATTTATACCAATCTTTGTTTTATAATAAGACACTAATTATGTCATTTTGGGTTATTTTAAGGGTAGCAAGCAGTAATTTTACGTGAAATTGCAAAAGGGATCATGTTAATCATTCCGAAGCAGGAATTTAGGAAGCATTAACACAGATGTTATAATATGGCATCAATCAGCTTTCTCTATACCCTACTAGCTCCATGGGCGGGTCTAGACAGGGGCCGACAGGGGCCCGATCTCCTGTAGAAATGGTCCTGGCACATTACAGCCCCTGTTAGTCCATCCATCCATCCATTATCTGACACGCTTGTCCCAATTGGTGTCGCGAGGGTTGCTGGCGCCTATCTCCAGCTGTCAACGGGCGAGAGGCGGGGTAGCCCCTGTTAGTCGTAATACTTAATGGATTTTGCATGATAATATGAGCTGGCACAGAAAATATAACTGATTGGTAAATTGGATCTGATTCTAATTTAGTTTTACAGTTTTATTCCAACAATTAAAAATTCAGGTGTTGCACTTAAAGCTTAATTAACCAACTTAAGTAGCTTAAGAAACCAAACCCACCACCTGTGACTGTTATTAAGGGAAAGACAGTGGAGCATGTCAGCAGTTTTATTGAAAATACGGATGCTGTGTGCAAAAAAATCCCAGCAGCCACTGCACTTTCATAAGATGCTCTACCAGTTTTGGGTGTGCAGTGCCATCATCACCTGGCTTAGCAGCCTCCTATAACACAGTGTCCTGATCATCCTCCCCACCCTGACTTTGAGCTTCTAGCGTTGGGCAGGAGATTCAGAATGCCAGAGGCTAAATCCAGCAGGATGAAAAACAAAATTTTAACTCAAGTCATCACAATACTAAACTCAAATTTTGTGTTGTGATGTGTGGTTTGATGATGCTTGTTTTTGTGATGTTTGTTAAATTGTAAAATAGTATTCCCATGTTTTTATACTCTTACCCTCCTCCAAACTAAATTTCTCTCTGGGAAAATTTTAAGTCAAGTTGAGGTTTTAGTAAGTTAGGTTCACATTTATATCACTGCTGTATCTCGGATCGGAAGAGCCACAAATAGTTCTTTGCTTCCAACACTCATTTAATATATCAAACAAGTAAGTGTCCTGTTTTTTGTTTCAAGCTTTTGTTCTGTACCCCCTGGTACATTTGGTCTAGAATTACCAACTACAGTAGCAGTAAACATAACTTCCCATTTGAGAACCTCTCCATGTTTTTTTTTTTGTTTTTTTTTTCAAGAACAAAGACACGTTTGTTTTCTATGTGTTGCAGTAAGGTGAAGTCTTTTTAAAATAGGTCTGCCTCAACAGAATTTCACATCAAAACATCTAGACATAATCAGATAGTCAAACATTGCCTAATTAGACTCAATATTAGACATTTTTTATTTATTTTTTTATCCAGCAGGGCCTGTACGATGACTCCGACTGTGACAGTGCAGAGCTGGACCATTCATGCAGCGCAGAGCCCAGCCAGCCTCCAACTAACTGGTGAAGAACAACAGGCCTAAACCCACAAGATCTGTACATCTGGCCTCTGCATTCTTCTTTGACTCGGTCAGACAATAATAAACCCACAAAGAAACACAGTGGAGAATTGAAGAAGAAAGGAAACAAAGACTTTCTCATAAAAACTCAATTACAGATTACACAGATGTGAAACTAAAGGATAAACTCCTCTAACAGACAACAGACAAAGCAATGACTGTCCGTTCATGTCTCCAGTCATCTTCCATGCTGATTTTTTTTAAATTAATTTCTGTATTTTATACTATCCAGTGAAAATGTTATTGAAGATTCTTTATAAGTGTGAACTACACTTATATCTCAAACTCTACTGTCATTATCTATTTCTTTTAAACATTATGCACTTATTTATTTTACTGTGAACTGAATGAAAAAATGTTTACATTTTACGTTATTTGTTATCATTTATTACCGTCGTTTTTGATCAAATTGTTTCCATTGTCACTGTTAATATAAGATGTAAAATGAAATTTTTTTATAGAGATTGTATAATTGAAGGTGCTGAAGTTTCTCAGCAGGGGGCGCTATTATATAAAGACCTCATAAAGCTTTTACTGGTAGAATGTAACTTTACCTGCTGTTTATGTCTGATCAAAAGAAATAGTTATGCAGTATTGAAGTATTTTGCAGAAATAATGTCATTTTTTGGGGGAGAATTTGAAGGTTTGTAATTCAAAAAGCATGCTTGTCATTTTAAAAAGTATGCATATTTAAGATGTTGGATATTTCAGTGTAGTGAATATAATTTCCGTTACTAATAAAGCCAACCCTGGTATGAAGAACATGTTGATAGAAAAAAAGTCTACATGTAGTGGTGTATCTCAATAACTTGGAAAACATCTGAAAGGTTATACATTTTAGTAACTCAAAAAGTGAAACTTATGTCTTTGATTTATTACACACAGACCCGTATATATTTTTTTTAATGATTCTAACCCAAAACTCAGGTGTTTGGAAAGGTTAATTAAATAACATTTTAAAATAGGCCATATATTTGTCTAGGACTCCCTTTGAATTAATGTTATCTCCAATCTAATTAGATTTTAGGGCGATTAGGAAGTGGCTCTGCTGAGGTAAAACAGAAGCCCAAGTTCCTTTAAAAGAAGTCTTCAGCTAATCTATTTATTAGGCTTGGTGTCACTTTTTCCTCTCAACAATTTTGCTGGCCAGTCAATCACGATAAGGAGGACTTTATTCAAGTAGGGACATAGTTTGGCAGTGAGGGCAGCTCCATACACCGTTCCGTTTTCTTGTATATCTATTAAGCACATGTTTCCATTAATACTTTTTGGATACAGTTTGCTGTTTCTAATGAAGAGTGTTAGTGAGATCATTTGTTTACAAAAAAATCTTTCAATTTAGGGAAGTTTTTCATTGAGCCTTTTATGAACACTAAGCAACTAATAAAAAAAAAACCTATATTACTGCGTGTAATAAGTTTGACTTTTTGAGTTAAATGAATAAGAAAGCATTTTGTGATATTCTAATTTATTTAGATGCACCTGTATTACGATTCTTTTACAAATGAATCATAAAAAAAGCAGTTTTGATCCATTAATAAGATGTTTAGAACTGTTACTGAATGTTTTGCTCACAAACAGAAATGTGAAAAAATGGTTGAATATTTCTGCTGATTTCTTAATGCAATGATTGTTATTTTTATTGATTTTTTTTTTTTGCAGTCATGAAATTAGCATGGACTGCTGAGTCCATGCATCTTGAAATTCAGCATTTACCAAGGACACAAAGCTTTACATATTGTTGCAACGCTTGCACCAAGAATGCAATGCAAGGCCAAAATTTGACCTCTCATCAATATATTTTATAGCCAAGAATGAAGTGGTCATAAAAGTGGTGCTGATATTCTTGTCTTTTTTTTACCTTGCACTTCAGCTTAGAGCCGTTCCAGATATCAATACAAATTAGAACACCTAATAAGCTAAAATATGCAGCTTTTTTTCTGTCAGGTTTTTTGTTTCTATTTACATTTGTAGGGCTTTTGTAATCCATTCATCCCCCTAAAAATAAAGTTAAAAATCCTTGGTAAGGATGAAATGTTGCCAATGAGCCAGACTACTGCCCTCTAGTGTCCTCAACCAATATAACAGGGGGTCGAACTGAAACATTTTCTACTGCATTATTGTAACTGTACAATAAATATATTTAAGAAACCATTTGAAAATAAAATCCAACTTGTAAAATTTCAAACTGTGTTTTTGAATGTTTGAAGATGAAAAGAGGAGGCTTTTTGTTTGAGCATTTCACATCTTTATTTTTGCATTTTTTTTAAACAACGTGGCACCCAGGTCTACAGTCTCAAAGAACGTGCACAATATTTTTTTCTGTCCTGCAAAAAAAAAAAAAATATCTATATAGAATAGGTTCTGAGTTGAGCAAAGCAAAGAGCAGGAATTTGTAGTGTTAACTCACAACCCTTTTCTTTGTCGACTTTATTTGGGTTCACTCCTCAGCCTCATACATTTATTAGACCCAAGAAAGAAAAAAATCAGTGTCTAGAAGTTATTTCCACTTTGGTAGTTAAAAAAAATAATTCTTCCATTTAAAACAAATATTCCAACTTTTTTTCTTTTTCAGTATATATCAATTTATACAAAAGAAAAAAAGTGAGGACAACCCTCTGATCCTGAACCCTTGAGCCAAGCCCAATACACACCCCTCCCCCAAAAAAACCTCCCAAACCAGTAAAATAATCAACAAATATTCCGAGGACCAGAAGAGAGGGAGAAGGGTAAAAAAAAAAAAAAATACAACGGAATGACATGAGGAGGAGAGAAAACATGACATGCTTTGTAATACACATCTGAATAAATTAATCTGAGTGTTAGAACAGCCGTCTTCATACCCAAATATTTTCTATGACGGTACAGCTACACCTACGTTTTTTTATCGGGTGATATTAAGTGTAACAAGCACTTTGGGTGCACTTCGGTTGAAGAAGGTGACACAGGGTGAGGATGCTGTGTATTCTTAAAGCAAGTAAGTACATGAAAAACCCAACAATCAGGAATAAAAAGAAGAAACAAATAATGTATATAGACAGTATAAAACAGTCACTCTATTCTTACTTTAGATACGTTTTATTTTTTCCCCTCTTTAAAAGGAAAAAAAAAATAATCAATGACTGCACAGTACTAACTAAATCTGCCCTAAATCAGAGTTTTCAAACTCATCTGTCATGGCAACAAAAATGAAGAGGAAGAGAGAAAATAAGTCTAATAACATTAAAATCTGTAACTTGACTCAAAAATGAGAATTAAAAACCTAATTTTCCTGCTTCTTTTTTTTACTAAAACCAAACCGAAACAAAGAAAATAAATAAGGAACTCAGCAGATCAAATCGGATGACATGATTCAAATGAGAAAAGAGGATATACATTATATAAACTCTGAAGTTGTATAGTTGCATTGCCTGAATTTTACGGTAGCCGATGATATAAAAGTGTGATTTAGTGCAGATGCTGTGTCTTATCAGTTGGCTGCCAGTCCTGTGGCCTCAGAAGAAAGCCTGGAGAAAACAGATACACACCAAGAGAGTAGGGGAGAAGAGAGAGAGAGAGAGAAGGAGAGAGAGAGAGAGAGAGAGAGAGGAAGGCATGCAATAAGACAGAACAGAGAAAACATCAATATTTACTCCACATTATTACATCATTAGCATAAAAACCTCTGGAAGGAGGTCATCTGGCTTTATACACCAGGAAAAGTTGTGCTCTTACAGAAAACCATTACATGTCCAGCTTTCGGGGTTGGAATATAAATAAATAAAACATCTCTGTCAGCAGCTGAATGCATACCATGAATGAGCTAGCAAAGTTGTTAAATAATGTCAAACTTAACAATGCTATTGTTCCACACAAACCAAGAACCCTTTCCCACTAGGCTTATAGCTAGCAATGCCTGCGGGCGTACATTGTACACCCTTTACAAAAAAAAAATACAAATCTACACCCTGTTTTGGGATGTGCAGCTTTGGTGCGCCCCAATTTCCCCTGAAAACTTCTCTCAAATATTCAAAATTTCAAAAGCAACAGATGCTGTAGTTGAACAAATGTAATTTTTGCTTCTCAAAGCCTCACATCAACCTATCAGAGAAGCTGATTTGCGAGCTGGCAGGGAGACAGACAGCGCTGCTGATGCAGATCGCTGTGAGCACTCCAATGGACCAGTTCAACGCCTAAATTAATTTAAAATATCAAAACATGCCGGCAAAATATGTTCGCTTTTATCATTCTGGTGCCTGAAGTTCGTACCAAATACCTGAAAAATACTAACATCTACTTCCAGCAGCCAAACAGATGTGATGCACCAAGGTGTACACCCTATGAAATATTCCTAGCTAAAAGCCTGTTTCCCCCATAGTTTATTCTTAGACAGTTTTTGCAGTACTTGTTGAATCCATTGACCTAAGCTAGCATTTTTCACATATTTGTCCCCTCTCCTCTTTCACACTCAGTTTCTGCATCAGTTCGTTGTAAGGACCATATTCCAACCGGTATTAGCCATGGATTAACCCAATACCAGGGGGGTCAGGGCCTTTTTATTACGTCTTGATGGAAAACGTGAATTGTGTAGCACCAAAATGCAATCCTATCTGAATCTTAAATAGATTCAGCATATCCTGTACCGATTTCTACTGTCCTAATGGGGTCTAAGCAGATTCTTATGAGCAGTACTGAGTTCTTGACTATATAGTCATGTGACTGAAGCCAAATCTCACAGTTTATCTTCATCTATACCATTTTGATAACCGAATCTTAGGTTGTCACAAAATGCTCATGCCATGCATCATGTGGTTTGTTCAGCTGGTCCTCCACAATATTGTGACAGATGGACCTTTGACATATTCTGCTAGCCAATAAGATAAGCTTTATATGGGAGAAGTAGGGGCGGGCTGAAAATAAAGGATTTATTTACCTAAGTAAAGAGTGAGAGGAGAACCAAGCAGTTACACAAGGAGTGGACTTTCAAAACTGGAAATATATGTTTATATTTTTTTAAGTGCTTGAAGGAAAACTTGTGTAAATCTAAACAGATTTTTTTTTTTTATGTTCAAATTAGTCATAAAATTCAAATAATAAAAATTTGCTTCAAATTTGGCACAATTGTACTGAATGGACATTTTAGAAAAAAAGGGTCCTAGTTTCACAATGCTTACGACTAGAGATCTGAAATTTTACACAGTTGTTAGCCACAACATGAAGAGCAAGTGTAGTAAACCAGAGAGGTCAATTATGAATTATACAAAGGATATAACATAAAAAAAATACACTTTTTTTATATTCAATTGGAAAAAAAAACAGTTTTTTTGGACATGTTTGAAGGCACCCAGCTCTGGTTGTGTAAAACCTACTGGGTACACATGTCTCCAGAAACTAGAAGGTCTTTCAAATTAGCTTTCAAATTAGACACAAGTATATGGGATTTATAATATTTTACTGGCCAATGGCAATTTTGTTTTGCAATATGTTTGTGCACAAGCTATAAAAAGGCAGGTTATAAGGGGTTAACATTCATGGTCTGTGTGGAATGGCAGCATAAAGGTATTCAGATTATTCATGGTTACTGGTAAAATAAAGCTCTATAGGCTTAGGAGGAACTGCAAAACAGGAGCATTCATTAAGCTAAACTATTTGGATTTCCATATTTTCTTTCTAAATGTTTTTTAAAAAGTCAATAACAGTTTTGTTAGCCTCATAGTTATCCAGATTCCACTGATTCAGATTGCAATTACCATTTAAGCAGGAAGCTGGTTTTCAGGTTAGAGATGACAAACATCTGCTGTACATAGGACACTGCTTAACAGGGATCTTCTCTATATGTATTGTTCTGCTTCCATTTTTAGTTTTTAAGATATGCTTATGAGCTAAACACCAAAGCTTCATAGTACCACAAACAGAGGCAGGAAATTCATTTTCATCCCTGCCCTTCTTGAGATGAGAGGAATTACCTACATAGATCTGGTGTCTAATTATCAATCAGTTCCTAATAGCTAAGATGAAGCAGATGAATATCTTTTAGATTTTTCACTTTAACCAAACGCAAAGCATGTAAAACTGGCTTTGATACCTGAGGGAAGATTTCATTCGATTTAAAATGACTATTTTTTTCTAACATTAGCAAACAAATCACAATAAGACAATTTACATAAACTAACAAGAATGACCTTAAAATAACTAGGAGAAAACTAATCCCACGAGTAGAGCATGACATCTTAAAGGAGCCGCTACCTGAGCAGAGCTTACACACAGGGAGAGAGAGTGATACGGTTAAATTGTTCCCTGTCCATGCTAAATTCAAAGTCCTTTAAAAATATAAAGCACTCGACATGTCACGCTTTAAAGAGACAGGAAGAGTCAAGCTACAGATATTTTATAAATATGGTGTTAACCACCTCTCTGGCTTTGTAATAAGGGGCTGCTTTGTGCTGTAAGCGAGGCGTGGCACAGCCAGATACAAGAGCAGGTGCAGGTACAGACAACAAAGAGCACTGTCAGCACTTCAGGAGAACATGACTTATGTTTCCTTCATTAGTAAGGGGAGAGCCTTCGCCTTTTGGACTTGGAGCCCAGCTCAGGGGCCACTTTGGGCTCAGTGGGGATAGGGTGTGGGGCGTTACTGGCCCCACTGACAACATGGAGGGCCAGGAGAGGCAGGGGCTTGAGACTGAGGAGACTCGACACACAGGCAGGTGAGCTGGGGAGCAGGGAGTCGGTGGAAGAGGAGGAGGAAGAGGAGGAAGAGGAGGGAGGTGGCCCTGGAGCCAACAAGGACAGAGGGATGGAGGCTGTAGGGGGCGCCACACAGGAGGATGAGGAAGAAGAGGAGGAGGAAGAGGAGAAGGAGGAGGTAGCAGCAGAGGAGGTGTTGGTGGTAGTAGTAGTGGTAGTAGTAGTAGTAGTAGAAGTGGAAGGAGGGCACAAGCTGGTCTGTTCAGGGTTCAAGGAGGAGGAGGAGGAGGGAGGAGGTTTAGAGGACTCTACACTGTAGAAAGAGAGACAAGGAGAGAGGGACAACACAGTCGGGATGGGTCACAGGGCAGGCTGGTGAGCAATGGGTGAGGGGGAGGTTCAGGGAGGAGGAGGGGGGGATGGGTCGGGTGTGGAGGATAAAAATCACTCAGGGATGCGACCAAAATACCACACGTCTTAGAAAACAATGAGTTAAACTGAGTAGAATGACTTATCATGTCTGCAGTGATGGATCAACATGGGAGTAAAAGGTGAGGAAGAATAACTGAGATGAAAACACACCAAGGTAAAGATAATCCCGTCAGCCTAACTCCATGAAAACAAAGAAGCTACTGATTGATTCGCATGGATGCAGGGTTTCCATTTGTATATCACAAGATACACAAAATGTTGATCTTGAACAACTGAGATAAGTTTGATCCAGCACGACAGCATGACTGCAAACACAAAGCACAATCTGCACCTCTTTTTTACATGTTCAATTCATTATCTGCAATGAATGACAGTTTAACACATGTTTCCCAGCACTATAGGGCAGACACAGTTTGTTTGGAGTATCTCACCTTGCATTGATGAGGTACTCTGCCAGACTGATGCTGGCGGGCGAGCCGGTGATGGTAACCTGCCGGTCAGTGGATCCGTCCACTGGATTTGCAATCTTGATCTGGGCGCCAGACATTTGCCTGATCTCATTGATCTTGGCTCCCTGGCGACCAATGATGCATCCGATCAGCTGGTGAACAAAGGGAAACAAGACAAAAGTACAACAAGGTTTAACTTAAACTATTCTCAACATTTTTCAACACTAATTTAGGAACAAGAGTTAGAACCTAGATATCTAGAGTGCACTCCAACAGAAGTTACAGGACAGCTTGATGTAAATAAATTATACATTATCAGGGACAAAATTCTCCAGTATTTTATTCACTTTCAGAGTCACATACATTCTTTATCTTCAGAATATTTCTCATAATAATAGAATTTCTTTTTAATAAAGTATGTAAAGTATTGAAACAATCAAAGGCCAGTCAACATGTATTCAGTTGTGTTACAGTACATGTAAAAGCTCTTATTGATATTATGATAATGCTAAAATTGTCAGTTACAGTTTTTAGCTAAACTTTAAATGTGCTTTACTGGAGACATCCATGTGTGTCGAAGAACACTACTGCCACTTAAAGTGTGGAGTAGAAACACTACTTCACGCATTGTTTAGCACTCTGAAAGGATCGTTAAAATGTCATTACAATGGTCTATTGTACTGCTACCAACTAAAGGAATGGCTTTGGATCAAGAAAAAGAATAGTTAATTTTCCGAAGGACCCGGGTTCACATCAAATTTGGATCCGGAAAATAAATAGTTTAGACAAAAATCAATCGGGAAATCTTTGGCGTCCAAGCTGATACAGCAAACTATGTACGGATCACATCACGCTAGATTTTTTTTATCATCAATCGTGCTCTCACAGCATCATTTAGATTCAATATACCAAAATATAAAAGGCTTGTTGTCTCTGTTGTAGTTTTAATAAAGTGCCTGATGGCAATAAAGCTGATTCAAAGCATTGTTTATTTTTTTTTATGGAATATTTTATTTCACAAAACAACGAAAACCACATCCGAAGGGCAATGTTTCCCACCCGGACACCAGAAATGGACCTGGTGCTTGGAACACTCGCTGCGATCAGATTACCGAGGGACCGCTTTCCCCGTCCAGGCTCAGCAGCGGAGCACAGTCTGCTATCCAGAACCACCAGCACAGCACACAGGGCTTCAACACTAACCGCCAGCCTTCACGCCTGGCCACAGCAGCATGATGCCAACCGAACCGAACCAGCCACCATAGAACCAATCTGAATCCTGTGATCCCCTCTTCAAACAAAAGGTTAGACTCTGGTCTAAACTAATTATAACACAGCAGCATTTGGAAAATGTTCTGAAAGATAATGAACTTCCACCGGCTCTGCCAAAGGTCAAAGAAAATTAAGTGGCGGCGATTAAACGAGCGAGCATTAAAAAAAACACTTAGACTCTGATTACTTCGTATTCGTCCTCATTAAAGGATAAAAACTCACAAAGGTGAATAAATTCTGACTCGCTATGTAAAATGACTACTTCCTGCTTCCTGACTAAGCTGACGTCACCGCATCCTAGTGGGTCACATGACCGAACGAGCTGGAATTTTACCTTTACGACGAAAGGTTGATTAAGGAGGTTCTGAAGTACAACCACTTGTATGATGCCTGAGAGATATTGTTTTGGAAAATAAACACTCCCGCCAGCGCCGTTGAAGAAGTTCTCGCGAGTTCTTGAATAGGCTCCCCCTTGCGCTTTGGCGGGAAACTGCTGTGCGTCCCTAGAAATTCCAGACCAACGTTGCAGAAGCATACCAGCAAAACTGGTTCACGACCAGAAGCAAGCGACATTTGATGTGTGCGCTTGCAGAAGTGTAATCCGCCCTTTGGTATACAGATAATGTATGTATCTTGACCTTATTACATTTTAAACTTAATGTCAGTCCAATACAACACCAGTCATTTTATTAGATATGCTGAAGATTTTTCTATTATATGGGCACATGTACAGAAATTTACCATGTTAATAAAATAGGAAAACTGACAGGCACCTTTGCAGAGAACTAGGGTGCCAAGATTTATTCACCTGCACCGAACAGCAACCAATACTTTTCATTTGGTCCTCCTTTGGGTGCAAACTAATAGCGGAATTTCATTAAAATCACTCTGATGAAAACTAAGGGCCTCTGTTTGATGCTAGGCCAATGTCATGTTTAACAAAATAATTTAGATAAAAGTAAATAAAGGTCAGACTTACATCATTTGGAATGGTCATCTCATGGGAACTAGTCTGAGCAGAAGCATCTATCCCTGACAAGAAAAATACATAAGTGATTGAAACAAGCAAACACATCCTAATTTCTAAGACCAGTTAGTTAATTAAAAGCTACTCATCTTCACATCCAGTTCAAAATGATTTTCTAACTAAAAAAGCACCCCTTTCAATTTGATATTTTATTTTAAAAGCTGGTTTAACCTCAACAAAGCATTTCTGTTGTTTGTCCTTTAAACCGTAAATGGAGTGGAGTCTACTAGGGTCCCAATGCGGATTGTAAAATAATGTGAAAGAACCAAACCCAGCTTCACATCACATTGCTCTCAGGCAAGGGTGGAAACCAACAAGTAAAACTTTACTAAAAGTAATTCGTCAGATAATTTGCTCTCTTTACTTTTCTTTTTTAATATGAAAATGGATGAAAGTTTGCTTAAATTCATTAGCTGATCTTTGGCAATGTAAGTATTCTATGGAAGTATAGATCGATAGGCTATTGCAGCTATTCACTAGACAAACATTAGACTTTAAAATAGGTTTTAATATAATCATAAATCACATTATACAAATAATTAATTAGCAAACAACTTGATTTTCTGAATAACTGTTTTAAACACAACTAACCTACGTTGCTCAAAACAATAAAAGGAACACTCAAATAACACAAGTTGATCTGATTGAATGAAATATCATCAATGAATACTTTGTTCTGTGCTGAGTTGAATAACAAATTTAAACAAAAATCAGCAACAGAAATCTATTTTATTAACCAATACAGGCCTGGATTTGGAGTCGCACTCAAAATTCAAGTGGAGGAATACACTACAGACTGATCCAACTTTGATGTAATGTCTTTAAAACGGGTCATAATGAGGCTCAGTATTGTGCGTCATTGTGCCTGTATGATCTCCCTACAATCCCTGGGTATGTTCCTGATAAGGTAGCAGACAGTCTATTGAGGGATCTCCTCCCAGACCTTGACTAAAGCATCCACCAACTCCTGCACAGTCAGTGGTGATACGAGATGTTGATGGATGGATCGAGACATGATGTCCCAGATGTGCTCAATTGCTAAAGAATGTTGCAGGCAGCAGATTGATTTCCAAAATGTCTCCAGACTGTCACATCTGTGACATTTACTTAGTTTTAGTCTGCTTTCATCTGTGAAGAGCACGGGGCGCCAGTGGCGAATTTGCTAACCCAGGTGTTTTCTGGGAAATGACGTTGGGCCTTTGTGAAGACACACGCATTTTTGTGGCCTGTTGGATGTCATTTTTGCAGGGTTCTGGCAGTGCTCCTCCTGTTCCTCCATGCACAAAGGCAGAGGTGGCAGGGCTACTGCTGGGTTGTTGCCCTCCTACGACCTTCCTCACATCTCCCTGTGTGCTGGTCTGTCTCCTGGTAGCGCCTCCAGCCTCTGCACACTGACACACAGCAAACCTTCTTGCTACAGCTCACATAGATGTGCTATCCTGAATAAGCTGCACTACCTGAGCTACTTGTGTGGGTTGTAGTCAATCTTACACTACCACAAGTCTAAAAGCACCAAAAGGATTCAAAAGTGACACAAACATCAGCTAGAAAAGCATAGGTACCAAGACATGTTGTGTGTGGTCCCCACTTGCAGAACCACTCCTTTACCGAGGGTCCAATTAACAACAATTTCAATCTGTTGTCTATTTCATTTGCACTACAGCATGTAAAACTGTCAATCATTGAAATTGATCGTCATAATTCCTAAGTGGACAGTTTGATTTTACAGAACGCTAACTCGTTTTAAATAGAAAAATCTTCCCAGATGGGAAGCTAGACGTCTTCAAACTTGGAAAACAAAGTCCAGTTGTTTGTTGTTTTTTTTTACCTTTTTTAGGGGAATTTCACAGAAGTTTGATTTAATTGAAGTTATATTGTGTTTACGTGTCCACCTCACGTGTTTGTTACGTGTTTCGTGTTTGTGTTTACGTGTTCCCTTTATTTTTTTGAGCAATGTAAATTTGAATTTTGTTAATCTAGCCCTGTTAACATCAGAAGTTATGCAAGTTTCAGTGATTTAAATACTTTAATTGAGGACGTAATGTAAAACCTACATTGATCATAAAAACAAAAATTTTAAAGACTCCTTTTAGAAACGTAGATTAAACATCGTTGGTAAGTTAAATATAAGCCAACCAAGATTGAGATTGTATACTCTGGTAAGTGACTGAAGTAGATTCCATTTGTTTTTCAATGAGTAAAAGTTTTTATCACCTTCCTATTAGAAAGCTAACCAAGAAGTATGATTGCCATTCAGTGGCTGTAGTAATCAGCAAAATAGATTTCTATATTAAGAAAATATAAGTTTTATTATACAACTCTCTACTTTAAATCTTTCTGAAAACGCAAACTCAAAGGAGGAATTAGTATTTTTTTTTTTATCAAAATGCTGCATAATCCTTTCTAATATAAATTAAATCTAATCTTTTTATGCAATACAATCCATTATTCTATAAATCTACAACCCTCTATACTTCAGTAACAGTGAGTGTGTCAGTGTGGTGTGGCAATGCGACACATTCGAGGCGGGTCAGCTGGAATGTTGGCGTGAAAGCCCACGGGCCTTTACTGTGCTGCATACCAGTGTATCCCTGGTTGCCTGGTGCAATAGGGAAAGGACTCTGCTGCATAGCCAACTGGTGAAGCTTGGTGAGCTGTGGAGAAATAGCAGCAGAGGAAGACTGTGAGAGTGAGAGGAGGAGGCGGGGAGAGAAGAAACAGAGGAAATGGGAAAACACGGGAAGAAGGGAAAAAAACAAAGCACATAAAAATCACAATCAGTAAGACAGCAACACAAAGAAGCGCAAACAAAGAAAAACTCAGTGCACATGGGACTAAGATAAACTACAGATCACTGATCTCTCTGTGAAGAGCATACGTTTAGCTTCTGGTTCGTCTATGTGGGAAACCTATTATGATCTCCTCTCAAGCCAAAGCTTCAACTGTTGGTAAAATTTTCCTGCCAGCTTCAAGCTCAGAACAAAGCTGCAATACGAAAGTCCGGAGCGCTCTGTAGAGGGGATTTCCTGACCAAAACAATACCCCAGCATGACCCTCAACTGCTTCAATTTAACTTCCCAAGAGCTGAGAATAAATTTTTATGCAACATCTAAAGGCACATCACAAGTTTAATAATCAATAACTCTTAGATTGTGATAAAAAAATTCAAGCCAACAGCTTTTCAACTGTTAGAAAAGAAGCATTTGTTAAATATTCCTGATCTGTAAAAAGACTACTCATCATAAAACATATTCAAAGATCCTATCATAACTTTTCTTTAAAAAAAACAAAAAACATTGATTGTATGAAGCAAAAAGTGGCCAGTAGACAGAGTAACAAACAGAAAAGAGAACAGTAGGGTTGTTAAGAACAGAGCAGTGAACGAGACATTACTCCACAAGGAAGGAGAAGATGGAGGAGTAAGCAGCAGGGACAGATTATTATTCATGGAACAGTGGAGAGTCTGGACAAACAGACAAATGTCAATCAAATTTGAGTCCCAGTGCAAAAACAAAGCATATACTGAAAAAGATTACAAGTATGCACCAAATGGTAGACATTAAAATGACAAAGTAATAACATGTGATAAAACACTGCATGAGTAGGTGGGTGATTTCTTGTTTTGGGAGAGGACAGCTGCAATAATAAGTGGGAGTTGAAGTGGTGGGTGGATCAAAGAAAAAAAAAATCCTACTGCACTTACATCTGGCTGTGGGATCGCGTGCTGTCCTTGTACAGCATAGGCCTGAAACATATGGAAACAAAGCTTTCATAGGCCTCACATCCGGCTTTGATGGTTATTTTACTTCTCTAGGTACGTCACCATAGATGACAACCAAGTGACTCTTACACATTTAAAACCTGTTGATAATCCATTCATATCAACATACACTTCATGTCCAAAGTCTCCACATTTTTGACAGCAAAGAGGTTTTTTATGACATTAAATGAGAATTAGAGGAAAAATCCAACTGGGATATAAAGAATACCACACAGTATTTAGTAAGTTTAGTCTTCGTAATGTTAAGAGATCGAGCACCAGAGAGTGTTTAAAGGCCGAGATGAAAGAAAGATGAGCAAAAAATGCTCTAAATTGAAACTACCGTAGAGAAAATAAAAAAAAAAGGCAAAAAGATTTTTTTTTTTTTTAAGGAAAAAACATCAATGAAAAGCCTGACTGTAAAGCTTTACTTTTACTCAGTTTTTAGTGAATCACTGCTTTTTTCTCCAGGTAAAAACAAACTGAAAGATCTCTTTCAGATTATCAGATGAGCTCCTCTATCGTCACAATCCAAAGTTAAACCTGTATTTTTAGTAGTAGTGCACTCCGTTTTAATGAAAACTCATGAATAAATAATCACCCTCTTCAATTGCTTTCTGTAGCGGATATGAAAGGAAAATAAGGCCTTCCAATAATAAACCCTGCGACCATCAGAAAAGTCTTGTATACCTGTCCGCCAGCAAAGATGACGGGGGATCCGGAAGGCTTGGGTCGGTATGGGATGGTGACCCCCTTAGGGGGAGACTGTAAAGGGGAAAGAGAGATTTTTAGTACAATATCTACAACATGCACTGAGAACTCTAATAAATTTTGCAGATTTTGATTCTAAACATCTAGGTCAATGTATAAAATGTTTATCAGATTATTACAGTTGTTAAGAAACATTACTTTTGTAGCAGAGCAATTATTTTGTTACCGTTTTAGATTTAAGCAGAAATAGTGAGACATTTCTTTTAATGTCATACTAAGAATGTCATCCAAGCAGAGACAGCAACTTCTACTCCTTTATTATAATCCACTCACCTCAAGCATGACCACACAGATCTGCTTAACACACTCAATTATTGACTGTGGGGTTCCAGCAATGGTGATGGCACGCTCTGTGGAGTTGGGAAGCATGTCTCCTGCCACTTGTACCTGAGCGCCGGTTGACTTAAATGCACAAGAGGAGCAAAATTACCAATAAATAATGTCTAGTACTTAAAAAAAAATAAAATAAATATAACAGGTAAAAGTAAACAGAATGCTGGTTACTGTGGTTTTAGGACATACCTCTCGGATTTCCTTGATCTTGCAGCCACCTTTTCCTATGAGTGAGCCACATTGGCTGGCAGGCACTACAATGCGGAGGGTGACTGGAGGCTTGCTGGTAGCTGTACTGTTTGTCATTGAGCTGCTGATATCCTAACACAAAATATAAAAAAAAATATATGAATTAACCCAACTTGAAATCTGTTGGTACCTGTTTACCTGTTAGAATCAAGGCCTACCTCTTCCAATTTCTCTATGATCATAGAGAAAGCTTTAAAGATGGCCGTCGTCGGACCTGCCAAGGTGATGATCCGTTCAGGACAGTTGCCTTCAGAGATGTTGATTCGAGCCCCACTCTATAAACAGAAAATAAACTAATTTAACTCAGTGTTCAAAGCCACTGTCGGTAACCTGACCTGTTGTAGCTTCACACAACTAAAGAAGTTTCAAAAACCTCACCTCTTCTCTCATCTTCTTCACAGATTCACCTTTCTGTTTGAAGAAAGTCAAAAACATGTTCAATATTTTATGAAAGAAAATAAAAATTAAATTAAAAGAATAGAAAATGTTACCTTTCCAATTATACTTCCAACCTCCTGGAATTAAGAACAAAAAAAGACATTGAGACAGAGAATACAGGTATGTGTCAAAAGATCTGGAATTTAAATTAACCTCTAAAGCTTAAATTTCACAATTTAAGAGTTAACATGTAATGAACCAATACTAACCAATACTTCTGAGTAAGTGATATAACCACCCAAAGTTTGAAGGATTTTAAGCTTTAGAGAAACAGAGTGGGGTTTAAATACATGTTGCTGTTTGCAAGTTTGCACATTTTATAATGTAATAAAAAAAAATATGGATTGGCACAACCTGATAGGGGTTACATTCTGCAACAACCCAGCAGTTTGATACATCTACAGTTTAAATATTAAAAAAGGGTTTACAAAGTGCAGAATCCTTTTTGCTCCTCAGCTTTAAAATCCACCATAACAGGCTGCAGCAAAATTCTCAACATGGAGTGTGTGTGACTATGCTGTCGTCAAAAGAGCCAGATGGCCTGGGGACAAATGCCAGGCAATGCCTCAGGCTGTGAGTTTTTTGTAAGCATTGGGATGGTGACAAAAAGAAAAAAAAATGGAATAGCCAGTACAAGTACAAATAATCCATAGGTAAAACACGAGTATTCCTAAGACTAACTGATGTACCTTTAACCAGCATCCTTTAATGACAGCACAAGGTATATTTTGATTAAAGATGCACTGAGTAGCAGATAACTGGATTTTGCCAACTTCTTATTTTGACTGGTATCAGGGGGGATGCCAGGAATTTGGGGCCCCCAAGAAAGACATTGATATTGGACCCTCAACCCTTGTCAATGTAATTTTTGTAATATTTCTACAAAGGAAAAGCCTGTACACATGCACAGATTAATGCATGGACGCCTTCTCCCTCTCTCCTCTTTCTCCTTCCTTTCTCTTCCGGACATTTTACCACACTGTTGCTTATCAACACATTTTCTTGTTAATATTCAAATTTTTCTTTCGTTGTCACTACGTCAAATGACGAGCGCATTGCATTTAAGCCCCGGTACAAGCGAACTGCCACTGACAGATGGGGAGACCTGATACAATGGCGCCAGGATGCGAGGACCAAAAATGTATTGCAATTTCCACAAGAGGGGGGTGTCAATATATTCATTTTATGTTTCACTGTTTACTGCTAAAAAATGAGGGAGGACATTAAGATAATTTATTTTACTGCTGGATTATCCTTTTACATTTGAAAAATATAGGAAGGCAAATCTTTTCTTCTTCTTTTGAGCCCTCCCTGAGTCAGGAGCCCTTAGAATCTTCCTGACTCCAGCCCATCTATCTGACTTTTAGTAAACCCCATAAAAAAAGCATCAAAGTGCATGACACTGATACGCAGGAATAATATTGATGTGTTTATAAACCAAAAAAAGTGGGAAGTTTTGAAATTTAAAATGAAATATAAACTAAATTTTTCTGTTTTTATCCTTTGATCAGCAGTTAGGGTTGATGAAGGGAATTTTAAAATGACCAGGTAATTATTTAATTTAACTCAAAATTACACTGAGTAAAGATGATCCATAAAAAACAAATATTACAGGATCCAATAAATTGGGACTAAAGAGAATTCCTTTATCAAAATAACTCCAAAAAACACCAAAAAAGGGCTTTGAAAACGCAAGTGATGTCTAACCGATTTCTGATACATAACGAAAAGATTAAACTCCTTATCTAAATATCCTTTTAAAAGATTAAAAGGATCCCATCATTAGCTACTTTCGTAGAACATTTGTTCTCAAACCTGCTCCTCAAGTACCACAACCCTGCATGTTTTGGGCGTCTCCTTGCTTCCACACACCAGAGTTAAATGAATCAGCCATCTGCAGCACCTAATGACTGCCGAGGAGTCTATGTAATCACTTAAATCAGGTGAGCTGCAACAGAGAAACGACTAAAACATGCAGGTCAGGGTAATTGAGGTCCAAGAATGAGAACTACTGCTGTGGAACCTTAATTCCATAAATAATACATCATACTGTATCAGACCACATGAGCACCTCCTGGGTGATCTCACCTTGCCATGCATGAGCAGCCTGATGGTGAGGGTGACATTGAGTCCGCCTTCAATCATTCCGGAGTCCATAACTGCAACAGTCGTGGGCTGAACAGAACCACGGATCTTTGGTCAGACACGGGTCTAAAAGGGTTTAAACACAAAACATTATTCACAGGAATAAAGAGGAACATGTAAGCCTTAGTTGGCCTTATAGATAGAGGTATACATTAATCACACTATACAGGTTTTGGTTCTTTTTTTTAAATCCCATTATTTCATTTAAAAAAGGTCAAATCTAGAGGTAAGTGATAAGAAAAGGAATTCAGCAGAGAGGTAAATATTTTATCATGAAATATCGGTGATCCAGATGTTTTTGATCAGTGGCTACATTTTCAAACATACATCTCCAAACGTCACACTATTATGTTAATAGTCTTGGACATTGTTGATGTTAAGGCTAACTGTAGCAGACAGATGGATACTACGAAAAAATGACTGCACTTTAAAGCTTTTCCCGCAATTTTGCTGTATACTTTCTAAGCACCTGGATTTCATCCATGTTTTCAGCTTGTTGTAAATTGATATAGCAAAACAAATCCTTTAGAAGTAAAGTACTGTAGCTAACACGCAGACAATGTTCGATAGCTTTGAAATAAGTTTACTAACAAATTGTTTGCCATGTTATTGCCCACCAGCTTATGGAGACGAGTGCGCAATTCCCAACAGATATATTTCAATTAAACTTAAAGTTTAATGCCTTTACGCATTGTTTTGTAGATTGAACTTAAATGGAGATTTAAATTATTAAAGTAATTGAAGTCTCTTAGCCTTCAGTTAGCCGTACTAAGAAAATGAATGGAGCAGGCGTGCGCTTGCTAGCATATTTAGCCTGTTAGCTTGCATCGTCAACATTATTAAGAGATTATAAATATAACAAGGGTGGCTTATGTACATGTATAAATACTCTTAAGCACGCGTGTTTGATAAACAGTGGGAGTTAGATTCTAAAAGTGATAAAAACTGACTCTCTGTAGTGGTTATTCAGGATAAGCTAGGCTAAGCTAGCGTTAGCACTCCCAGAGCAGATTGCGTGCTCATGGTCCTCACGCGGCCTATTAGCACGCTGCACGGGCTCGATTTGTTTCCGCTACTTCTGATTACTACAGATATGTTATATAATAAGAAATATATGAGAAAACTCACCTTATCGGAGCGCTACTGGCTGACCGGGGGAGGGTTGGGGTTTTAAGGGTAGAAGGGGAGAGGTTCGGGAGGGTAAAAACCCGGGGGAGAGTTTAGAAAGGACTCGGGGAAGAGGGAAGAGTGATGCGAGATCGAGCTCCACTCCTTTACACAAAGACAACAAAACAGTAACCTTTGAACTCCCACCCTTCACCCTCCTCTAACCCTCACTGCTGAAACCCTGGAGACTGAACTAAAATGCTCCCTGAAAAACATTTTAACCATATAACGTTACTATACTGAAAATAAACGTGAAAATTACATTTATAACTAATGTAAACTTTTTTTTTAAGTGTACATTATGTATTTTCTGTCCGTTGTAATTAGTACATGTTCAGCTAAATCAATTTAAAATGTATAGTTAAATATGAGTTAAAATTAAGAAATCCTTAAGGAAGGTTTATTAGTTTGTTAAGATTAGTTATTTCAAATTCAAAGACGACTAGTGGGCATGATGCATACTGCAACAAAGCAGTATGCATCTTTTTCACGTTTTGCAAAGCTTAGGCTATCTAATAGAAGATATACAGTGATTAGAATTAGAATGTATTTTGAAGTAAATATTGATACTAACTTATGTTTTTTTTTTTACAAAAAATAAAAACTAGAAACTACATGTGCGTAATTTAAGCTCAGCAAAAATGCAAAAGTTTATATGAAAATCAATAAGCAAACAGCTTCATAAAAACAAAAAAATAAACAAGAAAGATCAGAGATTACCTCCTACAGAAGTTTAAAGCATATAAATCAATTTCCAAAGAAATGAACATCTGACAGAGACCTGAATAATGAAAAGGAATGAAAAGAACAATCAGAGAAGTAGGCCTGAGAACCGTAATAGCTGGGAGGAGTTTTACAGATTCACAGCTTAGATGAAAGAATATGTTAATAGGACAGCCTTTATTTGCATACTTCCCTTTTTGATCGACATGCAAAACCCTTATGTATGGAAGAAAACTAACACGGTTCATGAGCCTGAACACATCATGCCCACATGAAACATGACAATTCTATGCAGCTAAATCAAATTAAAATCAGCTTTATCTGCCAATAAGCAATATAATATTGTCATTATAAAACAATGATGAAATGTTCCAATTTTTCGAGAATATACACTTAAAACTTAGAAATCAAAAAGGCATATGAAAAAAATAAGCATCCCTAAAGGACACCCTAAAAAATTAAAACACCCTCAGAAGAACAATATATTACACTAAATATCCTTAGAGAACAATTTGAAGAGACACCTTTACAAGAAAAATCAGAGTGAAAATGGGGGAAAGCATGCAATACACTGGTTGCCTGGGTTCAATGGCCATGCATCTACATGTTTTCAGGACTCATGCAGCATTAATCAAGTTGAGATCTAGAAGAGGGCATCCTAAAATCCCCTCTGCTACCTGCACTATGCATGCTGTCCTCACCTGTGCTGTGTATTTAAGAAGGAAAATAAAATGTATTGTTTGGAAATGTGTCAACTGGAAGTTGACTGAGTAGTTAAAAGGGAAAGAAATTGAAGCAGCCTCAATGATCTGTAATTGTTTTACTTGATATGTTTTTTGTTTATTTTTTAAATATATACCTGTCATTTATTTTAATGTATCTATGTTTCTAATGTAACTTTGCTGCCAGGACTCCCTTGAAAAAGAGGCTTTTAATCTCAATGGAATTTTTTTACTGGTTAAATAAAGGTTAAATAAAAAAATAAAAAAAAAAGGTATGACATCGTTACAAATAGAAATACATGAGCAATTATGAAAAGTATCCATTGTACATTGAATATATAGGAATGCATGTTTAAATTGTGTTTTTACATAGCAAAGTAACAAGGCTGTAAATCATGCTGCCACAATTTTCTAGTTCAAATTTTTATTAAAATCTACATGTATCCAGTACTTTGATGATTTATCACAGTTATTTACAAAAAAAAAAATAATAAATTGAATTTTTTTATTGTAACGTGACAAAATGCAATGCAGCTTAGTGGGTATGAGCTGGACACTTCAACAGGTGAAAACAGTGTTTTGCTACTTGTTTTCGAGAACTGCAATAACAAATCGATTGTACTTATTTACATATTTAAACAAAATAAAACAACTTTATCCTTAATTTCTGAGTTTGTATTTAGACTGACCACAAACAATAGCAAACCAGCAACAACAAATCCCAAACTGCAAAACTTTGACCATAAAATAATACGTAATAAAAAAGAACTGAAATAACTTAGGTGCATATATTTTGTATGACACTAATGTTAAAGATGTCATCTAAAGTGACGTTATGACATAATTTACAAGTATAGTTTAAACAGACTTATTTTGTTTTTTGTTCAATGATTTACATGCATGGCAGAAAAAAAAAGTTTTCAGAAGATGCCGGGGTCCTTAATCTGAATCGCTGCTGCTGCTGCTGCTGGAGGACTGCAAAGGAAAAAAAGAGCATATTAATATTCTAACAAGTGCAAAAAAAAAAAAAAAGACATTTTTACATGACAAAGCAAAACCTACAATTAATGAGATATTGCTGACATTACCTACTATTTAGAAAGAGGACAAATCTGAGAGCTAGCAAAATCAATAGCAGGTAATATTATGCATCAGTTGATAAATTATTTTAGCCCACTTGGTGGACAGTTAATCATTTTAATTAATGCAAGATTTTTTTCTAGCAATAAGGCAAAAGTTACATCTAATCACTTTGCTTTGAAATTTTTCAAAAGGACGTGAACCTTTGTAAAAAACAACAAATGTTGACCTTTTCTAAAAATTTACTGTATGTTTAGAGGGTCCTGGTGTGTAGCAACCTAAACTTGACTCATGAATGAGACATCATTGCTTTTAAGTACAGATTAATAAAGACAAGTTTTATAAGCTCTTATGACATTTAACATCAGTGTTCATAACTCAGCCTCACCTTGCCACATTTGTAGTGGCCATGCTTGTGATATTTGTGAGCCTTCTTCATCTTTTTCCTCATTTTCTTATTTGCTTTGTGTCCTAATATGCCCATTCCTACAGCCATTCCTCCTGATAATATTCCACCCACAGAGTTAAACCCATCAGGGTGATGGTGATGATTATAACCTTTATAGGGCTTGTGACCGAAACCTTTTGGGGAGTAGTATAATGGACCTGGAGGGACACCTCTGGGATGCAATTGATGTCCTGCAGGATACATGGGATATGCAGGAGGCCCATGAGGCATCACCCCTGGAGGTCCATGTGGAATCATGGCTGGGTTCATGGGAGCTGGGTAGTGGCCTGAGGTATACTGGCATGCAGGATAACCAGGGTTTCCTTGGTATGCAGGAGGTGGACCCTGTGGGTAGATACTAGGTCCAGGGGTTGTTGAATATGGGGCAGTGTAGCCAGGAGGGAAAGCAGGATTTTGTGGACCCATTGAATAAGGAGGATGAGGTGGAGGAGGACCTGTCACAGAAAAGAAACAAACTAAAGCACCTGCTAGTTTGCAAAGGTGATAGTATATTAAAATATGATAAAAGGCTTGGTATGTGTACCTTGATTTGGCCACATATCTTTTTGTTTTGCTTTATCAGGTGATAAGCAATAGTCTTAGAATGTTAAAATACAACCTGGAGAAACAGAAAATGTATGAGTTAAATCATTTGTCAGAGGTTCTTACAACATCTCTCATTTATATGTCACATATTCAGTGGAGGAGCGTACCTAAAAAACAACCCCCCCTTAAAAGAAATTAATATCAGTTCATATTTAGGAGAGCCTTAGGCTGTTTAGTAGCTGGTTTGAACAAGCAGAGGAATTTTGCTATTTAAACTGCTTTTATATGGTTGAAATGGATGCTACCTTCACTTTGTACAAGCATACATAATCAAAAACTTATTTCTATTTAAAAATATCTAGATTTATTTCACAGAATGATTACCTGACATGTACCTGCATTCAGATTGTTCAAATCAGAGAAGATCATACATTTTCTACAGGTTTCAATGCTCTGAAAGAGGCTGGACTAAATGTAAAAACCGCCTCTCGCTAGACCTGAATGATGAGCGACGACCATAATTATTCTTCAAAAAGATCCAATGGCTGTTATGAAAACTAAAACCATTTCATTTTTATGGTGCAGAAGTTTGAGTCTGTCTCAATCCACACAAAAAACATTCAAAAACTAATTTGGTTTAGATTATTTGAACTCAACAGCTACCAACAACTTCTCCATTTGTTCCTGCTTTACAAGCCAAAAAAAAGACCACACAAGCCTTAATCTTCTAACTGCTGTAGTTTAACATAATCTCAAACAACACAAGTTTAACATCAGTAAACCTAAGTTTACAGGCTTACCTGAGGATATCGTCTCTGTTCTTGTAATCAGGAACTCGGAGCGTCTTTTCTTCCTCTTTGAAGCAGCTATGAAATGTACCAGGATGCCACACCCTTCCAGGGACACGTACATTTTTCACGCAATGGCAAAAAAGGCATCAGCTGATAGGGAATGAAAAGCTGAATGACCTGTTTTGCTTAACATTGTAGAACAAAGCAGCTTACACTTTTAAAAGAAAACTCTCGAGGATGTTTCCACAGGGAGGAGGAGAGAGGAGTCACCACAGAAAATGCTCCCATGACATCATTTTAGATTATTCACACCTAAGAATTCTACCTCTATGTTTAACACATTCATTGAACCATGGACTCAATGTATTTCTGGCTCGTGTACTTTATAAAAATAGAAAAACTATAAAAGCCATTTCATTTGTGGTCAGTTCAAGCTTTGGAGACAAAATGTGTTGAGCAAGACGAAGAGGAGGTAGAACAAGTTAAAAAAAAAAGTTCAATTTGATAAGCTAATTTCAAAATATATTAAAATATCAGGGAAATAAAAACAGAGGAAATAAAATCCCAGTTTATAGGACAATCTTCACAGGATAATGGTAGGTTTGAAGGTTAAGGGTAGAAATACTTCCTGTAGATTTCCCTTGATGCATCATAATGGATTAAGCCAACAACATAACCGATTGTCTTATTTTAGAATTAAACCTCATTTTTCAAAAGGTCTTGAGTCACAAAGTTTGACGTCATTTTGAATTAAGAAAATTTAGATTGTTTTTTTAAAGACCTAATTTAGGGTGTTTTTTTTTTTTTTTTTTTTATTCAAACAATATGTTTTCTATATATTTTTTTAAGCTAAAACTACTTCTTGTCATAATAAGTGAGCAAGTGCAAACAACAATTGAGAAAAACTTTCATGAATCATTTCATGAATATTGGTTTTATTTGCCAATGTTACATGAACAGATATAACTGAAATTTGTTAATATAATTAAAAATCTTTGTTAACCTAAATATGCAGTCATTTAATTCTTTTAATTAAAAAAAATAAAAAAGAAACGTGGAGACTGTGTTGAAGTTTGTGAAATAATTTCACTAAAATCATTTTCCCTGTGATGTAAATTATTCATACAGCATCAAAGAACACAGGAACCAATTCCATAGCAGGCGTAGATTAAAGGGTGCAAAAACCCATACAGGCAGGCCTGTCCTGATGCCGAATCTTAGATCAATGGACAATAAGGCTAAAGGTAATGAGTGACAAATCTGCCCACAGCACAGTGCTCATGTGACACAGGAATTTAGCAATGTGTTTTGAGTTCCTCCTTTGCAGATAGAGGGATAAAACACTAAGTCAATACTTCCCTGCAGAGGTCATAGTGCAGGAGGTATCACATTTAGCCATTAAACTTTGGTAACTACAATTGTAATTTTAGGGGTTTTTTTATGCGTGAGAGCATTAGGGTTTAAGTATTTCACATTTTGTACTTATTTAAGTACAAACGCCTTAAAATCTTGTCTTAGTTATATAAAAGACTTTAACATGTTCATCCATCCATTCATTGTCTATCCTGGCCTGCCTTTACCTTAGATGGTGTGGACTGGAGGGGTTGCTAGTTCCCAACTCCAGCGCTCATTATACAGAGATGGATTAAACTATGAACAGGCCATCCTAAATACGTATGTACAGGTCGGACAAATATGCAAACACAGACTCACACCTAAAGTAAATCAATGAACGAAATCAACGGACCTCAGCTGCATGTTGTTGGACTTTTAGAGGAAGCCAAAGTTACAAGGCTTTTTGGTTTGGCTAAAAACTTTATTCTTGGAAGCAGCTTAGCCATAGAATTAAAAAACTCCTTTGTTTAATACTTTCTTTAAAACCTTTCGAATCATATATTCTGGTGTTCGTTGCCAGGTCAAAGCATGTGTCTCATTACTTTTTGAAATGCATTTATAATTTTTAAATCATCAAATCACAAAATAATAAAGTAGATAAAACAGAAAAAAACTTTTTTAGCTGCTTCTATTGATGTTACTTAAACACTACAAAGGAAAATATCAAAGGTTTACTGTGTTTGAGTTAAATGAGGTAAAAAAAAAAATAAAAAAATATAATTTTTTTTATTGTAAAACTATACATTTTCAAAATGGATTCCAAGCAGCAGCAACAAAAATAATAATGGGCATAAAAAGGAATATAAGTTTTCAAGCCATTATTCTCTTATATCTATCTATCTTTGTTAATACTCAGTTAAATTTGACAATGGAATTAGAAACATTAGATATAAAGGGAATCTTGTTTATTTCAGAGACTTATTTTATCAACACAAAATACAAAACAAAAAAAATTATTCCATTCAAAATGAAAATAAAAAGACCAACATTATTATAGTTTAAGATTATTGAAACCAATACCAAATACAAAAAAATATATTCCATTCAAAATGAAAATAAAAACTTTCACACATTATTATAGTTTATTTGAGATTATTTAAACCAATACCAAATACAAAAAAAAAAAAAACACTTTATAAGAGAAATGTCTTTTTCTCTAAATTAAAACAAAGAGAATGAGCAGTAACAATACAGTAACCATAACTAAAATGTTAAACATTAAAATCCATGGAGGAAAAGTAACAGGGTGTCAAACACTAAAAGGAAAAAAAAAAATTGTGTACATGCGGTTTTAGTCTCATAAAAAGACTATAAAAGGATATTATGAAACACGATAGGTTTACAGGTAAAATGATAAGATTTCCTTTTAGTTAATGAACTGTGTTTCACTTTTAGAAGCAGAATTTTAGGAGCTTCCAAAAGTGCTCCTAAAAAAAAGTGCTAAAATTTTAGGAGGTAAGAAGCTGGACATTTAGTCTGAGTCACTGCTGCTGCTGCTGCTGCTACTGCTGCTGCTGGATGACTGTAAGGACAAAAAACACAAATGGTGAGATACTAATAAAAAAACAAAAGATTAGTGTGAAGCAGAATAACACTGAGTATTAATTTAAAATGCAAGAAAACATGTCTGACAATAGAAAATTAAAAACGTGTTAAACAAGAACTGGAGTTTTTGGATTCTGACAAAAATAGAAAAGACTACATTTGTGTGAAATGAGGGCATCACAGATAAATTATTCTAATTATGTTTATTTATTTGTACTGGGTTTCATCCTAAATGAGCCCTATAGCACTACTTACAATATTCTATTTTTCAATGTGCAGGATCATGTGGGAAATTAAAGTTATTATATTTTTACGGAGGAGATCAATGACAACAAATAGAAGTACAGCATCATGGTCAAATAATTCCTTATTATTTAGATAAAAGCATTTTTGAAGAAGCATTTGCTGTTCAGTGCTAGCTTGTAAATTTTAACAAGTGGAGGCTGTAAGTGCTTTTTTTTTTTTTTTTCGGTTGATGATTAGTCCCATCTTTGAAACAGTGCTCTGCCCTTCCTTCCACAGGGTAAGATTCCAACATCATTGTTTTTGTGCCTGTCTTTATTTTTTTTGTTCAGACAGATCATGTTCATATTTGCTATGGTTATCCAATAATGCCAATCAAACAGCTGCTCTAAAAAGTTTACCAACTCCTTGAACCAAACCTCACCTTGCCATGACCTTTGTGTCCATGCTTGTGACCCTTCTTCATCTTCTTCATCTTCTTATCCTTTTTATGTCCATGTCCTCCAACTACCATTCCAGGTCCTGGGTAAAACCCGCCAGGATGGAGATCCTTGTGGTGGTCCTTGTGTTTGCCCTTGTGTTCGCCCTTGTGTTTGCCCTTGTGGTGGCCCTTGTGGTGGTCGCCTTTGGAAGAGGGATAGCATTGACCTGGATGAACACCTCCAGGAGCCATGGGATATGCATGAGCTCCAGGAGCTCCATAAGGCATACCGCCTGAAGGTGCATTGGGAACCATTGCTGGGTTCATGGGAGCTGGGAATTGCCCTGCTGGGTATTGCCCAGCTGGGAACCCAGCGTTTGGAACTGGTTGGAACATTCCTGATGCAGTGGGAAATGCAGGGTTGTAACCAGGGGGAAAGGCTGGGTTTTGTTGACCCATTGGAGGAGTAGGACCTGATATAAAAAAACAAAACGACACAATATGTAACCTTTGAGATACATTTGCAATCAAACTGGTCAAAAATTTTGATATGGATGGATGTGCTTAAACTCCCACCTTGATTTGGCCACATCGCTACTGTATTTGTAGTTGCTCAGATGATCAGTTTAGGTCTTTAAAAAAATCTCCTGGAAAAGATTTTTACTGTTAAGTCATTAACACTGTTATGGTACAAAAGATACGAAATTGCCCTTACATCTACCTGTACTAAATTTCCCAGAAAATTTTCAAAAAAAAATACCTTATCAAAAATAGATGGGTGTTACTAAGAAAAGAAAACTGTGTTTGATGATAAATTTCTATATTATCCAAGTTTAAACATTTTAAATAATGACCCTGAAATGAAAACAAAAAGTGAAATAAGCCAATGACGTTGTAGCTAGTATAACTACAGAGGCTGATGCAGTTTAGAGCACAGATTCAGTGGGCTAAGGGGATTGCATTGCTCATCCTCTGAAGGCTTTTCTCCAAAAGTATAATAAATAACATCAAAACGCTAAATATACTCTGTTTTCTGAATACCATGAGCTTTAATCCAACAGAGCATCTGT